AGATCGCAGAGGTCACGAGAACATCACCGAGTGTCGGAGATGCGCCCATCATTAGTGTTCAAACACGATTTCGCCCTACATATTTTTGAAAGTAACAAATACAACTTAACCATTTTCTTATCAATGATGGCACGTTTTTATTGCCATGAACAGGTACTTCAAATAAATACGAATTATGCTAAAATTACAACAATTCCTATCAGAGAAATCAGAAGAACAGTTGGCGAGCAAACGTAAGCTATCGATGAATGCTCGTCGGGCCATTACATTTATATGGTAACGGGTGTGCAAGTTTAACAACCGGTCAATACTGCTCGTCTTATCATAAAAATGAGTCGTGGTACTAGGAGGAAGGGGTCGATAAGAGGCAGCTGGTTACGCGGCGTTGAGGGTTTGTTGAAGGCTGATAAGGGGCAGGCGGGAGGAGAGAGAGGAAGTGCGGAAAGTTGCATGCAACTAAGTGACAGTTGGCCATGCCAAGCTCGGAGTCTGCAAGAGGTTCCTTTATGCGCACAAAAACGGCTTCCTCAACCGGATAGCGGTTTCTTCTATGGCTGGCAGACGCTGACTAGGGACTTCAGAGAGTTTGGTCGAACCTTATATATATCACCCAGAAGCCTTCGTTTGGGTCCACACGATGTTCAGAATCAATAATGTGCGCGGGAATAGGCACAAATTTTTTACCGTTTGGTCAGTTGAACTAGTTGTCTGTGTTTGAAAAAGCTTGCAATCACGTACGAGACCTCTTTCTTTCTTTTCACTCAACGTCAGGACATGCGATAAATTTATTTATTTTTCCGGTCAGACATTTCCCTTTTCTAAAATCTTCAGTATCCGCGGTTAATATGCCTTTTTTTCGTGTTCAGGTGGAAAAGATCTGTCAGGTAAATACCATGACTGGCGTCAGGCTGTTGATATGGCGACAGACAGCCTCGCCAACGCAGAGGCCAAATTCATGCGTGACAGACTTTTAGCTCCACTGAATGAAATAGATTTGCAGTATCAAATCGCTGCCGCACAGGTTGCCCGCAAGGCAACGGGTATAGCCAGAGCCCGACTCATTACTGAGCAGCGAGTCAGGGTAAAGCCGACAGGTAAACGTTTAACTTCTATTTGTATTCTTTTTGACTGCACAACTGCATTTCTGTCCAAGTACACAATTTAAGAAAGTTCTTCGGCAACAGTAGCTTATGTAGCCTCACTCATTAATCCCTACAACCTGCAATGTTTTCCTACGAAAACGGTGGTTATAGGGTTTTATGGGTGGAAAATTAGGACACGTAGTGGAGTATACTTTAATAAATGCTAAATGCATTTTTATTTTACTGTATTTAGAAGTGTTATTGATTTATATGTGCAGGTTTTTCTAATCTGTATTATCGTTTGACTTATTGCGGAAAAATCGATTATCAAATTGCTGGTTTCTTATATTTCCCGAAAAATTGAAATGATGGCTAGGAGGTCGTCCACTTCAAATTGCCTGTAGTCCAACTTACCGTTCTAGAGTTAGATTAGTATAGTTCGCAGCGCTAAGCGCCGCGCACACCTTCAATTTC